GTGTGTGTGTGTGTGTGTGTGTGTGTGTGTGTGTGTGTATGTGTGTGTGTTTATGCATGCCCCAAATCCCAGGAGGTGAGTACACGCACCTATAACAAAAACCTTAAGAAAAAAATGTGAGATGCTCAACCACAACTGCACACAGATAATACCACTGCTTGGGAGACTAGATACCACACAGCAAGTCCAGCTTCGCCTGAACACTTTGCACACACCTGTTATGTGAGCAGATTGGGGACCTGGAGCAGGGTCTTCTTTCTCTTTCCTTCACTCTCTCTCACAAAGGAAAAACAAGAAAAGACGATAGGAAGGAAGGGAGGATATCACAGACCCAGGAAACAGAGAGTCAATAAAACAGAAAAACAAAAGAAATTCTCAGGATAAGATCATGAAGGGAATTCTAAGAAATGAACTGAGCAGCAGGCCCTGAGAACAACCTGCCCACACTGGAGAAGAATATGGAGACTTGAGAGGAAATTTTTGAAAAAGATAAATAAAAACAGGTAATCTGAGAGATTACCTGATTCATCTGGAAGTATCAAGAAATGATTTCCAACTCTATAAGAACATTTGGTGATAAATTAGAAAAAGGAATAGAGAGGAAAAGAAAGCAAAAAAGGAGGGAGTTATTAATTCTAGGAAAAATATAAAGTACAAAAAGACAACCATAATATAAATAAAAGATGTTATTACAAACAATACTTGGTAATAACATTCTAATAGCTCAATATTATACTATTAATAAAACCAAAATTTATGTTATATCACTATTGAGAGGATAGGAAAGAAAGTGTAAGAACTGAAGCCTTAGTTGGGATGTAACACAGAGGAATGACACACTGCTCAGATGAAGCTGGATCCATACGAATTAGTTCCATGGTCGCTCTATACACACCAGGCGTGGCTGCCCATGCACCTGGCTGTCAGGAGGTTGGGGGGCAGGGGTGGGGATGTTACAGTGTGAAACCCTCTCAGAATGTTTGCCTTTCTCCTTTTCTCTCTCCATTCTCCCCACCGCCACATTCATTAAAGATATAAAGTTTAAAAATAAAAAGAGCTTAATCCTCATCTTGCATAAATGGAAATCCATAGATTCAAGTGCAAAAAAAATTTTAAAAATCATTCAGCAATATGGAGAAAAATATTAGAAATAGCCAAAATCTAGGAGTTCTTAAAAGCCAGAACTGAAAGAAAGAAGAGATGCTCAGAGGATGCTACTTTTCACTTCACACTACACAGTTTAATGGATTTTTTAAAAAAATATCTGCATACATTGCTTTGCTAAAAATAGACAATGAGGGAACCAGCAGTTAGTGTAATGGCTATGTCACTGGACTCCCATGTAGTCGACCACGGTTCGTGTCCCGGACCCGGTGGCTTAAAACTCACGCCGGGCGCGTGTACGTGCGTGCCCAAGATCCTGAGAGGAGAATGGAGGAGACGGGATTGCGGCGTGACCATCCCCCCTGGGGTGTGATTTCTCGCTTTCTGTCTCTATGTCTCTCTCTGTCTGTCTGGCGAGCGCACGCGCCCTACAGTGAAAATCTCTCCAAAAAAAAAAAAAATAGACAATGAATTCACCAAAAAAAAAGTTTATTAAAATTATAGGATACTTCAAATATTAACTTTGTAGGATGCTAACATTTAGTAGGCTTCAATTATTTTTAACTGAAAAAGAAATTGTATTTTTATATATGCAATAAGTATGCAATAAGACACAGCCCTTGGGAAAGCAATTGGGAATTACATAAAAGATAAAAACACCTTAAGTCCACTGACATGCTTCTGGGCTTATAATGTAACTGAAAATAAGAAAAACCAACTATAATGTACAAATATATCTTCGATTACTAGTTAAAATGAAAAACGAGAAAACATACATTTCAAATACAGGAAATGATTAGCTTGTCATTAAATAATTCAATATAATGTAAAACATAAAAGCACTTATTATAAAAACCATGGGACTTGAAAAATATGTATAATACAAATAAACTAAAAAAATACAAAATTGCAGGTACACTATGTAAGAAAGCATGTATGAAAGTAGACTGACAGGATGGGAACTGGAGGAAAAATAATTATGTTAGGTAGCATGGATAATGCATGAATGACTTTAAAAAAAGAAAGATATTTTTAAATAAAATTAACTCTGAATCTCAGCAAATGAATGCTACCAATTAGCTATATATGATAATGAAGAAAGTACACAACAAAAGCACTAATCCCATGGATTTCTTTAATCGTACAATTGAGATTTAATTTCCTAAGGAAAGGTATTGAAATTTCTTTATGCTGGTTGTACTAAGGCATTAACTAACACAAAAGCCATTCAAGAGAGTCATATATTTGAATAATTGAGCTTATGCCAATTGTTCAGAGAGTCTGACAGTCTTATAATACATCAATGTGTTTACTCAACCGTGAAAAGCTCACTTTGTTTTTCAGGAAAGGCATAAAAGCAAAAAGTACAAAACCATCACTAGTTCTATACATTCGAGAACCATTCAGAAATAATACAAGACA